CACCCAGGGAGCCACTGACTTGTTCATAGAAAAGAGCCCCCACTCTGAACCCAGAGGGCAAAAAAGAACAAGGCCAATTGACTTTGTTTTGCATATGATTTGCATATTATTAACTCAAAGGCAAGAAATTTCCAGGCCTTATGTCATTCCTGCCGACAACTTAATTCAACTCCACTGACACCAGCTTACTGTCTGGCCAGGCTCTGGGCTGAGCTGTGCGAGTCCCTAGTGATGAAGTCCTCCCAGCTGCAGCCACCTCCCTTCCCCCAGCTGCTCCAAGGCAGTTCTTCCTGATGTTCTAGCAGCTGGTGCCTTGGGAAGTGCTTGGGCAGTGGAGCTAGCAGCTGCCCTGGGTCTAAATCCTGGCTCTGCTACTTTGTGCTGGGCTCCCATGGGCCTCTCTGGGCCTTAATTTATTCATCTCTTCGTAGGCCTGAGGACATATTAAAATGCTGAAATACTTCCGTATTTATTGGTAAAGAGCCACCACTCTGGCCCCTCCCTGGCCTCTCTGGTCCCCCTTCAATCCAGCTTCTGCAGGGCGATGCTGTAACACTTGGTCTGTGTCTCTTCTGATTGGTGTATGCCAGCAGCTGTTCTGCCCATGGAGTACAGGTTGTTAAATACTTTAAGTATCACCTTGTCCAGAGACAGTACAGCAGGTAGGTGTATATGTGCCCACCTGTTGCAAGGACTGATATATTTAAAGGCCCTGGATTAATGTCCATCAATTTGTAGATTTCCTTTCTCATCTGCTTTCCTTTTGGCCTGGAGTCGGGGGTAAGGGCTGGGATGATACTCTGCCAGGGCAGAGATGACAGCCACATCTCTCACCAGGCGGGCCAGGTTCAAGCGCTCCAACAGTGTGACGGCCGGTGTGCAGGCAGACCTGGAGCTGGAGGGCCTGGCCGGCCTGGCCACAGTGGCCACAGAAGACAAGGCCCTACAGTTTGGACGCTCCTTCCAGAGGCATGCCTCTGAGCCTCAGCCCGGGCCCCGGGCCCCCACCTACTCAGTCTTCCGCACGGTCCACACACAGGGCCAGTGGGCCTACCGCGAGGGCTACCCACTGCCGTACGAGCCGCAGGCCACCGATGGGTCGCCCGGTCCTGCCCCTGCCCCCACCCCCGGCCCCGGGGCCGGTCGCCGTGACTCCTGGATGGAGCGTGGCTCACGTAGCCTCCCCGACTCAGGCCGCACGTCCCCCTGCCCACGGGATGGTGAGTGGTTCATCAAGATGCTGAGGGCAGAGGTGGAGAAGCTGGAGCACTGGTGCCAGCAGATGGAGCGCGAGGCGGAGGACTATGAGCTGCCCGAGGAGAGTGAGTGAGGGGACACTGCATGGAGGGATCGCGGCTGGGGGTGGGAGGGGCAGTAGCATACTAGGGGAGCTTTTTGGTTGGACATGTGTGTTCCATCCTCACAGTTTGGCTCTCTAGCACCAGACCGGTGGCGGGTTCCCATTGGCAGCAGTGCATTCTGGGAGCCCTTGGAAGGAAGCAGGGAGCAGCTTCAGAGGACAGGGCTAGGACTGGGGAAAGGGACCAGGTGAAAGGGCCGGGCCTTCTAGGAGATGGCTGCCAGTCCAAGTCACCAAGTCCATGGGGGCTAAGGGAACTCTTCCAATCTGTGCTGGTGTGGGGATCTGGGCCTAATCCAGGTGGTGGGACCAGAATTCCAAGGCAGAGGGGGAGGAAATTAAGCCAGGAAGATATGCTTTTTCCCTGCAAGTTCAATCTGAGGGGATACCCAGTCTTACCCCAGAATGCCCAAGTTGATGGGGTAGTGACTAGGAAGACAGGAGTCATATACGTGAAATTATTTAGTAATTCTTAATGCGCCAAGGAGTTGTACGCTGGTGAGTGAAAAGTTCAGCCAGTAGGTGGTCATGGAGCTAGGCCTGGCTAAGGCTATAGGGCTAGGCTGGGGCTGGTGTCCATCTGTTCTCTGACATTGGAGGGAAGGACACAGGAGGATAAGCACTCGAGAAATGTACCAGGTCTGACAATGAAGTTCACGAACTCATCCTAGAAAAAGTGCTACATACTTCATTGCTGAATATCAATCACTATGGTCGCCTTCGAAGTACTCCCCTTGGGAAGCTATGCACCGATGCCAGCCCCTAGTCCACCCTTCAAAGCAATTTTGGAACTCTTTTTCTGGAATGGCCATCAAAGCTGTCTTCGTATTTCCCTTGATGTATTAAATGTCATCCAAATGTCTTTCTTTCAATATTTCCTTTATCTTCTGGTAAAGAAAGAATTTATTTGGGGGCCAGTGACTCCTCACGTGAGTAGGGAGGGTGTTCCAATACAGTTATTTGTTTACTGGCCAAAAACTCCCCTCACAGACAGTGCCGTGTGAGCTGGTACATTGTCGTGATGCAAAAGCCATGAATTGTTGGTGAAAAGTTCAGGTTGTCTAACTTTTTCACGCAGCCTTTTCAGCACTTCCAAATAGTAAACTTGGTTAACTGTTTGTCTAGTTGGTACAAATTCATAATGAATAATCCCTCTGATATATCAGAAAAGGTGAGCAACATCATTGCAACAAGTTTGCAAACTTAATTGTCAGACCTCGTAGGTTGTATAAAGGAAAAAACATCCGTCTCTGAGGATACAGTCTTCTTGGTAAAGTGGGATAGGAACTGCTTGTTAGGAACCTGAGGATGGGATGGGGAAGGGGGCAGAAGGAGGCATGGATAGAGTGCCAGATAATGGAAGGCTCCGAGTCACTGAAGGCAGACTTTCTGGAGGTTGGGGATGGACGGACATCATTCCCCTCCTTGAATCTCCTTCTGCTCTCTAGTCCTGGAGAAGATCCGCAGCGCTGTGGGCAGTACACAACTTCTCCTGTCCCAGAAGGTTCAGCAGTTCTTCCGGCTGTGTCAGCAAAGCATGGTGAGTGCCCATGGGTGTAGAGCCTATCAGGTGTGTGTACCTGTTGGGTGACCCAGGGTGTGCACATGCCTGGGGGTGAGACCAGGTGTTTACGTCCAAGAGGGAGAAGCCTGCGCTTTCTTGTTTCCCAGTCTGCCAGTCCCCACCCCACTCTCCCAGTTTGAGCTTCCTGACAATGAGGATGGATGGGGCTTTCTCTGATCCTGGCTGGGGCTCAGACCTCCCTGACTGCCCCTTCTCTGTCTTCTTCCTCTACAGGACCCCACTGCGTTCCCCGTGCCCACCTTCCAGGACCTGGCGGGTTTCTGGGACCTCCTGCAGCTCTCTATCGAGGATGTGACCCTCAAGTTCCTGGAGCTACAGCAACTCAAGGCCAACAGCTGGAAACTCCTGGAGCCTAAGGTGGGGGGAGGCCCTTTCAAGCCAAGAGTCCTGGAACATGCCCCTCCCCAGAGAGGCAGGTGTGTGGGGCGTGGACGACTGGGGAAGAGATCCACTGGCAGCAAAGGCAGCCCGGGACAGGTGATGGCGACCGTCATCCAAAATGACCACATTCTTGGTCACTGCTGTCTGCCTGGCCCCAGTGCTCATCGCTGCCTAAGCTGCCAGAACTCGGAGGTGGCTGCAACCACCTTGGACCAGCTGTAGTTTAAGGGGACAGAACTAGAGCTTTCTGAAGGGCATACCCTCAGCTCGGACCTAGGCACAGAGGGGACTTTGAGGGCCTCCTCGGCCCTTGTCTCTCTAGACCTTCCCTGTGATGGGGACCAGAAGCCTGGTATGTGAGCCCTCATGACCCTGCCTGGGTCCCTCCCCACCTATAGTGGGAGCGAACACTCTGATGCCAGTTGCCAAGAACGGCACCGCCAGGGGGTGCTCGAAGCAAGCATTTTTTAAATGGAAAAATGTGGGTTTTGACCTTGTCAGGACAAGTACACCTGGGGTTTCAGGTGGCGGGACGCGCCGCGGCTGCTGACTGCTGTCAGTGGCCTTGCCGCGGGAGGTTAATCCCCCGGGGCCGTGCAGGTGTGAACTGGGCAGTCGGGTGGGGGTGAGCCCCACCGGTGTGTCCCACCCCAAACTAATTCGGCTTGCCTCTCACGGCAGGAGGAGAAGAAGGTCCCTCCGCCGATACCAAAGAAGCCCTCGCGGGGCCGGGGCGTGCCGGTGAAGGAGCGCTCCCTGGACTCGGTGGACCGGCAGCGGCAGGAGGCGCGCAAGCGGCTCCTGGCGGCCAAGCGCGCCGCCTCCTTCCGCCACAGCTCGGCCACCGAGAGCGCCGACAGCATCGAGATCTACATTCCCGAGGCCCAGACCAGGCTGTGACCCACTCGGCCCGCCCATCCCGGGCCCGGGGCCGTGGTTTTCTACCCGTACTGTACACCCAGCGTCGAGGTCACTGTGAACCGCGGGCCGCCCCGTGCGCCCGCCCCGCCGGCACCGCACGCCCTGGCCCCTCCTGCCCGTCACACTCTCGTGGGTTTTTTACCTTCCTGATCCCACGCGAAGGCGCCCGGGCTGGGCTGGGGGCCGTGCCTCTCTGCCCTGCGCTCCCACCTGGACTCCCGTCCCTCCTGGTCCGACGCTTCGTCCCCACCTCCTCCCCATGGGCACCATCTCTGCCATTACTTCCCCCCCACGGGCCAGGCCGGGCCGGGTCCCCCATCTGGGCTCTGCGTCCCCCCTCCTCCCCCCACCCCGCGGGGCTGGGCTTCGTGGGGATCAGCTTCGTGGCTTTTTATGAAGAATACCCAACCCCGCCTAGGAGCCCGCCCCACCCTCCCAGGGGCTCCACCCTCAGCCCTCCACCCGCTGGGCCCAGGGACCACAGTGGCTGGACCAACCCAGGACCAGGGCACCTGGGCCTCTCCCCTTTCCCAGCTGCTGGGGAGGGGAGATCGGGGCTTCTCCTAACCACACCTGTGGCTGTTCCCACATCCCCTTGAGTATCCCAGGAAAAATAAAACGGCAGAACTGCACTTAAGCCAACTACTCTCTCCAGAAGAAGTCACCTCTGCCCTGTGCATGGCGGACGGGGTGGAGGGAGGAGAGGTGGGGAGCCCAGGCTCTTGGTTTGGGGAGAGTGGGTATTGCCTGGGCCAGCTGGGGAAAGGATTCAGACCCCTGGTGGCCACAGAAAGACCTGAGCCCTCCTGGAGGGGCCCCCATGGGTTGAAGAGGGGAGTGCTTTCACGGCTCCATTCGTTTCCCTTTCAGCCTCTCAGTCCTCCAGGGTTCCTCCAGAGAGGGGAGCCCAGTGCCTGACACACAGCACATGCTCAGTAATGGGGGAGTGTGGTTATTCTTAGATATGGACAAATATTGAGGGCCCAGTATTCCCTCTGCTGCAGTCATTCCTAATCAGCAGCAGGAAAACTGTTCAATTTAGTGTTATAATATTTTCTGATGCCTCCTATGGGTGGGCACTTTGGTGGGGGAAGAGAACAGAACTTTCCCGGGAAGCTAAATAGCAACCCAAACCTAGTGGTGATGGGTAATACTGGATGCTTCCTGTGGGTCAGGCAAAGGGTGAGGACATTACTTACATGCATGTGGCTCATCCTTACAACAGATGACAGAGCAGAAGCTCAGGAGAGGTTAAGTGATCTGTCCAAAGTCACAGGGCTAAGAGTGGTGGACCCAGGTTTGTCTAATACCAAACCATGAGCTTTTTAGCCTTCTGAGCCCAGAAAGGGTATAATGACAGTGCCCACCCAGAAAACCACCTTTCTGGTCCTTAAACAGTTCACGGGGTTGATGTGTCACCCTGAGGCAGGAGGAAAAGCCTTCCAGGGGGTTGGCTACTCTTCTGGGCCACACTAGACTGGCCGACTCTTATCATTTATTCAACAAACATTTATCAAGAATCACTTTTGGCACCCAACACCAGGGAGATGCCTGGACAAGTCGTTTCTACGCTTATGGAGCATACAGTCATGGGAAAAACAGGTGAACAAGCAGTTAAAATATTAGGTTAAGTCCTGGAAAAATGAGGTATTAGCCACTGGAGGGCTGGGACTGGGCAGAATGTTCCAAGGTCAGACAACAGCTGAGCAAAGGCTTGGAGGAGAAAGAAGCATTGGGAGTGCAGAGATTTGATCACGTTGGGCTATTTGAGGAGAGGAGGCCTGGGTCCTGAGGGCTGTGGGAGCCATGGAAGGGTTTTGAACAGGAGAGTGGCAAGAACGGATATTTTGCAGGCTTGTTTGGGAGACCACCTGAAAAGCAAGAAGTCATACACACTCGTATGAGACCACTGGAAGGTAGAGAGGGCCCACATGTGATCCAAATTTCCAAAAATGAACCAGCTTTGAGCTGATATCAAACAGATTCCTGGACCCTGTCCAAGACTTACTGAATCAACTCTGCCCTTGACTTGCCAAAGGAGGCTTTGGCTGGGTCACTTGACCTCTCTGAGATTCAGTTTCTCATCTGTAATATTGGGACATGGGTGAGGTTTGAACTAGTCAATACTCAGAGCAATCCTGTAAAGCAGGTATTGTTATCACCACCATTTTACAGATGAGAAAACTGAGGCTTGGAGAGGCTAAACAACTTACCTCAAATCATGAAGCTGGGAAGTGGCTGAGTCTGAGTTTAACTCCTCTACATTATACTTTATGGGTCTATGTCTTTTCCCAGAAACTGGGTCAGCTTTCCTGGAACCATGAGGTATGTGGGAGAGGACATGGAGGAACAGGTCAGCATTTGCTGCTGTTGTGGGCATTCTACTACAGACATGAAGTCTAAAATCTCCCCGCATGGGGGTAGTCAGTCTCCTTTGGGTATTGTGGTCTGGGTAGTTGTGCTGGATAAGTGAAGGATTAGATCCAGTCCCTGTGCTTGAGTTGTCATAGCCAGTCACATAAACAGAAAGGTACAGTACAAAGGGAGGCCTGTTCTCCCAGAGGGGCTGAAGAGACTAAGGGAGAGAGCCTCTATCAGCCAGGGAGTCTGGGAAAGCTTTGTCTAAAGCGGGGTGGAGGGGGGGGGGGAGTTTGAACTGGGTCTTGCAGGATGAATTAGAGTTTTGCAATCAAGAAAGAGCAGGGAGGACATTCATTTCGGGCAAAAGGACCAGCTTGGACAAAGGCATGGAAGGGTATGTGTGTGTGGAATAACGGGGAGAGCAGTGAAAAAAGAGGTCGGGGAGGAGATGTGCCTGAAAGGGACTCATAGGAGGTGGTTAAGCTGGAGATTTCATTTAAATTCTATTTAAGTTTTTGAGAGACCCTTTGGTTAAAAGAATGGAAATGCACTGGAAGGGGCAATGGAAGACGGGGAGACCACTGAGGGAGACCATTGCTAAGGTGGTCCAAGTAAGAGATGATGATGAATTTGAAAGACATTCAGGAGGCATAGGCGCTATATATAAGCTGCATCTGGGAAATAATGCAAAGATGAAGAGGTCTTGAAGATGTCACTCATGGTTTTGGTTTAGTGAATAAGTAATACCATTAAGTTGACATAGGATGTTACAGAAGGATAAATAAATTTGGAGTATACTGAACATAGCAGTGACCATTTACTGAGCACTTAGGAGATGCTAAGTACTGTGTCAATCACTTTACATACATTAGGTGATTTAGTACTCAGAGCAACCCAAGGGGGTGGGTACTATTATTGTCTTTTTAAAAACATAAATAGCTTTTCTGAGATTAGCAGACAGCAGATTGGAATCTACATCTATCTGATTCCTAAATCTTGAGTCCCACCCAGTTCTGCCTGATGGAACTGCTAGCCATCACTGGAGACTCAGCTCAAGGAGAGGTTTCTCTGGAAAGCCCTGATTCTTCCTGGGGCTCTTCCTCTGTGCCACTTGTGCATACCTCTGTCACCACATTTCTCACGCTCTATTGACATTTTGTAGACCAGTCTGCTACCCTATCAGTTAGTGAACTCCTGAGAGCAGGGATGGTCCCAGTCATTTTTTGCATCCCTAATGCCGAGCATATGTTAATTAGTGGACCGAATGCTGGTTATTCTAGGAGGTAATTCTGTTCTCTCTATTCAATTGCGGAACAAGTTCTGCTAATAATGGTTTCCTACATATTTCTTTACACCGTTCCTTTCTCTCCATCTCCACTGCCAAAGCTTAGCATTGAGCTCTTTGAGATCATAGAAGAAGGGTATCTAACCTAATAATGCAGTCCAGGAGGCTTCTACAGTCCCTAAAGCTTGAAAAATTAGCCAGAAGTACACATTGGGGAAGCACCTCAAGGTAGATGAATAGGCATAAATAAAGGCACAGAGGTGTGAAACAATTTCATCTGTATGGAGAAATAGGAGGGTTTGGCATGTATTACTAAAGATAAATAAACATGACTGGCTGAGACTAGTGGAATGAGGGTGGAAAGACAGGGCTAGGCTGGAGCATTACGGAGCTTGACCTTTGGTGTGTGTTTTTTTTTTTTTTTTGGTTGGTCTCTACGTGATAAAATAAACAGATGTCTGTACAGGGAGCAGTGGGGACACAGAAGAGGGAGTGAATACTTGTACCTGAGGGGTCAAGTAAAACTTAGGTTTTACTATATCTGTAGACTATATTTTTTGTTGACTATATTATTTGTAGACTAACAGTAGTACCATTTATTTCCCGGCTTGCTATGTGCCTGGTATAGCACTTTACATACATTATCACATCTAACTCTCATAACGTCTTGTATAATAGGTGTTATTATCTTTACACATAAGAGGGAAAGGAGGCTTAGATAGATTAATACAATTCCCAAGGTCACGGCTAGAAAGCTAGCCCAGATCTGAAGAGTTCTTGAACACTAGGCTATATTCTGCCAAAGAGAGCTTCTTGAGGGTTTTTTTTGTGTGTGTGCCCAGACCTAGGTATTAGAAGACACCTGGTAAACATCCGTTGAATAAATGAATGGATGACCTTTTACTTTCTCCACGTGAAAAAAATAAATAAAAACCAAGTGGTGACGTCACAGGGAAACCTCCTGACCACCAGGGGGCGCTGTGGATATCTCAGCGCAGAGGGGGCCCCATTGCGGACGCCTAGCTTGTTTCGGTCGTTTGACTGGAGCTCAGCCAATCCCTGTGCTCCCAGAGAACAGGCGGCCGGTGGGCGGGATCCCGAGCCAGGCCCCGCGGGCCGCTGGGAGCGGCGACGTCGGGGTTGCCCTCGAGCGAGCGGAGGGCGGGGACTGACTGAACGGAGGAGTGCGGGCAGCGGCTCAGGTGAGCACGCGGTCCTGGCAGGCAGGTCCCTTCCCCCCCCGGAGTGGCTGCCGGGGACCCCCATTGCCATGGCCCCTGGCCTTGACCTCCGAATTACGGGAAGGGTGATCGCCAGTGTCTGCTCCAGCCCTGGCTAAGCCTGACGGTTCCCTCTCCTCTCCGGGCTTGGAGGTCGAGTCTTGGCGCCCAGCTGATCCTCTGCGGCTAGGGCTTCTCAGCCTCAGGCACGTGTGTGAGGATTGACGCCGCTCATAAAGCCATGAGCGTGGTGGGATAGGGGCAGGGGACCAGGAGCCCAGCGGAGGGAGAAGGGTAGATACTTGGACCCGACCTCAATTGCGTTCTCGTCCCTGGACGGGGCTCGAGTGACGGTCAGGATTCATCTTCCACCCACTCAGGTCTCCTCTGCTTTGTTAGTAATTCTCAAACCTCAGACTGCGGCTTCGGGCCTCATTGGGCCTCCCGGGGTCCCGCACAAGGGCAGGTTTCCTGGCAACCCAGTTGACCTTTACCGGACGCATAGGCTTCCTTCATGCTGGGCTGGAAATGTGCGTCACAGTATTTCCGAAACACTTTTCCTCTTTTATTTCGATACCCTGGGGATGACTTGTTAGAGTATCTAGCTTGTAATCAGCAAAGGCACCTGCTCGGTTTCTGCCACCTTTTGAGGGCGGGAGGGTGGATGACTGCTGTGGTTTTTACACTAGAGTGTTGACTGAGCTGTCAATCATTCAACAAACTTTTTGGAGCCTTTTATGCCAGGCCGGGTGGTAGGGGTGGGGCGTGGACAGGGCGCAATGGGGCTTGCAGACATAGACCTTGCCCTCTTGGAGCTTAAAGTGTTTTGAGAAATGCAGACAAGTGTGGTAGGCCAGCACAGTGTGTGGGTCTGCAGAGGAAGTGGTTATACATGTTGAGTAAATGAGTGAATTGACTTATTTGAAAATGATTAGAATGTGAGCAGGACGACAGAGAGAGACTTTGTGCTGCATGGGAGAGATAAAAAGTCGTGGATGCATACTTGATATGTTTTAAGAAAAACTGGAAATCTGAATGGAGAGTTGCTGTTTAGAGAAGGTGTTTACTTATAAAGAGAGAACTTGCGTAAAAGGTGGGAAATTGGATGGAGAAGTGTCGGGTTGAAATTCTTCAGTGCCTCTCTTAACTTCTAAATCGTATAATTTCACAAATCTCTGAGTATAATCTTAGAGTTTGCAAAAGGGGAACCGCTTGTACATAGTGAGATGCCAAATTGAAGAGAAAAAAATTGCAGAAGCTCTCCCCAAATCCAGGTTTTGGACAGAAACCATACACCTTTCTGCAGTGTGTTCTTTGAAATTGGAGAGGACTGGGTTCAAAATCATCCTTCTAGTGATTTGAGGCAAGTTAACAATGTCCCAGAGTCCTTGTGGCCTTAGAAATCTGGGCAGATAATTCCTACTTCATAGACGTGTTGTGAAAATCATGGTGACTAGTGTGAATTGTCCAGCACAGTACCTGGTTCTAAGACAGGATCCAGAGGGGAATATGGAGCTGCTGCAGTTGTTTCCCTGATGATGGCCCGTTATAGTCTTAGGTCCACGGACTGCTGGGATTCCTTCAGAGAGAATCAGAACCAAAGAGAGAGAGGATCTGAGAGTCAGTCATCTTCTCCTCGGTGAGGTTTTGACTGTTCACTTTAGACCAGAGATAGCTGAGTAGGAGAAATATCTCCAAGAGCACAAACGAATGATCTTTTAGTTGAGACTTTTGGGCAAGTTACTTAACCCTTTGATAATGCCATTCACCTCATGGGATGGAGGTGAGAATGAAAGGAGATAGTGTATATAAAGTGCCTAGCCCAAGGCATGACACTCAGTAAGTGCTCAATAAATGGTAGCTATCGTTATGATAATTGTGAATAATATTTGATAACTTAATAATAGTAATAATCATTTGAGACTAAGTGGTCATAAGAGTGACCCAATTGTGTGTTTTTACATTCTTTTGGTGGTGTCTTCATTTCAGGAGGCCCTGGTGGCGTTCCACTTTCTTTTTTTCCCCCTGTTATGGCTTGTACAGTGGGTTTTTTTTTTTGCAGAGAATTTTCAAGTCCTAGTGTGTCCAGAGTATATGTATATTGGGTTGGTGATATTTTTAGGAGCTTATTATGCAAATATGAGGATATGGGTTTTGTTGAAGAGAGTGTATTTTGAAAGTGGTTTGGCCAGCAGATTTGTCAAGTATAAGTTTGTTTCATTGTTAGAAAAATGAAGTTCACAATAGGGAAAAACCATTATCTATTTATCTAAAATCCAGAATGGTTGGTTAACAGATTGGGGTTTTGGCAGCTGAAACATGCTCCCTATACTTCACATGAAGCAAAGGAACTACTCATTATCCTGGAGCCAGTAGACCCGCAGTGGGATTGTGGGTGATGGGGAAAGGGCGACTGGCTGTGTAAAGCAGAGAAAGACTTCTTTCCCATTCTTGAAAGGTTTGCAGACTGTGGAGGGAGGGCTTGAGGTCAAAAACAGGCTTGAAGCTTTATTAGGTGAGGCCCAGAGGATCTCCTCATGGGGAACTCTGCCATACCTGGTCTCATAGTTATCAAAGTATAGTATATAAAATGGAGAGTCTTCTCCTCTTCTCTAACAAGTGAATCTTTTGAAATTTCCTAGATTCTTTCAGGGACCCAACTGTTGCATAAAGCAAGGTACCCTCTTGCATTACTCTGCATGAGGCGGATGCTCAGTAAATGGTGCCAGGCTGCCTGGGAGGTGGAGAGCCCTGGTAGATTGTCCATATTTGGTGGGGAAGGGGTGCTGCTGTTGCCCTAATGCTGCCTTGTGCTCCTCTGCAGATGTCATGTGGCCTGTGCTGTGGACCGTGGTACGTACCTATGCTCCCTATGTCACATTTCCTGTGGCCTTCGTGGTCGGGGCTGTGGGCTACCACCTGGAATGGTTCATCCGGGGAAAGGCTCCCCAGCCTGTGGAGGAGGAGAAGAGCATCTCAGAACGCCGGGAGGATCGCAAGTTGGACGAGCTCCTAGGCAAGGACCACACCCAGGTGGTGAGCCTTAAGGACAAGCTGGAATTTGCCCCTAAAGCTGTCCTGAACAGAAACCGCCCAGAGAAGAATTAACGGAGGACACAGGGACGTATAGGTCCTTCTGTAGGCTGTGACTCGTCCTGCCACCATGTTGACCCAGCATCCAGAACACTCATCAGATTCGCTTTGTTGCTACTTCTGGCCCCTCCCACCACATACATACTGGCTGCTCTTTGGTGGCCAGGCGCATACACTAACAGCTGAGGTGCCAGTGAAGAGGAACGCCTTGGGAGGGTTTTGTCCTGCAGGCTGCATCAGTTCTGTACTGGCCACGACTGCCCAGGCTTCTGCGCTTCTGGGCACACTGCTGGGAGGAGTGTTATGAAACGAACAAACGTTGGCTCTCGGTCTCCGCGGGGAGGCAGTTTGGCCTCAAGCGGAAGTAGCTGGGATTGGGGTGTTGCCTTAGGAGGGATACCACATGTCTGGTTCCTGTTTGCATGGGAAGAATTCAAAAATCTACCTGTCTCCCTTCACTAGTTTACCCTGTCCTTTGTGTTCACTCTTCCTGAAATCCTGTCCTATCCACTCAGGAAGGGGATTCCCCGGGGGGAAGGAGAGCATTTTTCTGTTTTTAGAAGCCCAGGCTGTTTGTTCACCTTGATGCAGGTGAATTTGCTCAAAAACCATCACCATTTTCACCCCCCCACACCCCCCGCTTCCCATCACTGTATAGTGCAAAACTTGATTAAAGTGGCATCTGAGAACCATATTGATCTAATCCTATCTTCCAGATGGTGTTTGAGGTCTCCATGCAAGTGCAGGCATTTCAGGGTAGGGTAACACTGGCCTTTAACTAAGGTCTCTGGGGGCCCTGGAAGCTTTGTTTTACCAGTGTGGTGGCATTGCGTCCTGGAGGTGGCAAGTCCTGGAGGTGCAGGTTCCCAAGAGCCTTTCTGTCATGACGAGAGGCTTATTGGGCCTTTCAAAGTCTAAATTAGAGTAGACCAGGGAGGTTAACAGTTGCTAACAAATTTTCCAGTTTCACACACACACACACACACACACACACTTTTTTCTATAAAAGCAATACATGTACATTAAAAAGCATTTAGTAGGGATTTTTTAAAAAGTCACCCACAGGGCCAGGCTCTAGTACCACTAAAGAGTTAACATTTTGTTATTTATTTATATCACATTTTTGTTATTTATTTTTTAGTCATTACTGTACATTTAATTTTACATTCTTTTTTTCACATAGTGTTTCATATAACCATTTCTTATCACATGGTCTTCATAATCTTCATTGTTTTTAATAGCTGCATAATTGCCCATCAAGTGGAAATACAGCATAGTTTGTTTTTAACAGTTTCCATATTGCTGGACATTTGGGTTATTTCTGGTTATTCACTAGTATAAATAGTGCAGTGAATGTCTTACATAAGGCTTTTCCTGCATTTCAGACTAAATGGTAGGAGGAATAGCAAATGGCATTTTGGATGAAATGGGATGAGCAGTTTTAAGGTTCTTAACACAATATCAAATGCCTTTTCTGAAAGGCTGTAGGAGTTTATGCTAAAAGCTACCACTTAAGATGCTGCTGGTGAGGTTGGAAGGGGAGTGAGACGGAGGGCAGGAAGAGGCAGAAGAACCGAGTGTCTCATGAAGTTGACTGACTTTTTTTTAAAGATTTTTATTAAAATGTAGCTAACACAATATTATATTAGTTTCAGGTGTACATCATAGTTATTCAACATCTATACACCTAAAGAAGTGATCCCTATAAGTCCAGCAACCATCTGACACTGTCCCATGCTATCACAATATTATTGACTATATTCCCCATGCTGTACATTACATTAGGTGTACAGCATAGTGGTTAGACATTTATATAATTTAAGTGATTCCCCAAACTAGTATAGTGCCCACCTGGCACTATACATAGTTATTACCATATTATTGACTATATTCCTTATGCTTTACATCCCCATGACTATTTTATAACTGCTAATTTGTATTTCTTAATCCTTTCACCTTTTTTACCCTGACCCCCAACTCCCATCTATCACCCTGATAAATCTAATACCCATCTGACACCATACAGTTATTACAATATTATTGACTATATTCCTTATACTATACCCTACATCCCCATGACTACTGTGTAACAACCAATTTGCCCTTCTTAATCCCTTCCCCTTTTTCACCTACCTCCAACTCCCTCTCATCTGGCAACCAGAATGTTCTCTGTATCTATTTGTTTCTGTTTATTTGTTTTGTTCTTTAGATTCCACTTAGAAGTGAAATCATATGACATATGTCTTTTCCTGTCTGACTTACTGCACTCAGCACAGTACTCTCCAGGTCCATCCATGTTGTCGCATGTGGCAAGATTTCATTCTTTCTAATAGCTGAGTTTTATTCTGTTGTATATATGTATCACCTCTTCTTTATCCATTCAGGGACACCCAGGCTGCCTCCACATCTTGGCCATTGTAACTAATGCTGCAGTGAACGTATGGATGAACATGTCCCCTCGAAGTAGCATTTCGGGTTTCTTTGGATAAATACCCAGAAGTGGGATTACTGGGTCCTTCTTCATCTCTTGTTATAGCCTTTGTTTTAAAGTCTGCTTTGTCTGGTGTTCAGTATTGCTACCCCAGGGTTTTTTTCCCTCCCATTTCCATTTTCATGAAATAACTTTTCCATCCCTTTCAGTCTGTGTGTGTCTTTGGATATGAAATGAATCTCTTGTGGACGATGTATGTATGGGTCTTGTTTTCTTATCCATTCAGTCACCCTATGGTTTTTATTCTTTTAAAAAATTTTTTTTAGAAATTTTATTGGGGAACAGTGTGTTTTTACCAGGACCCATCACCTCCAAGTCAAGTAGTTATCTTCAATCTAATGGAGGGCACAGCTCCTTGGCCCATGTGGGAATCAAACCGGCACCCTTGGTGTTATGCTGTGTTCTAACCACCTGCGCTAACTGGATGCCCCAGCCACCCTGTGTTTTTTATTGGAGCATTTAATCAATTTACATTTAAAGTGTTGATAGACATGTAGTTATCGCCATTTTATTATTCATATTATTTATTTATTCATTTGTCTTAAGTCCCTCTGAGATTTCTCACAATACTGGTTTGGTGGTGATAAACTCTTTTAACTTTTACCTGTCTGGAAAGCTCTTTATCTTTCGATTATAAATGATAGGTTTGCCGGTAGAGTAATCTTGGTTGTAGGTCCTTGCTTCTCACCATTTTGAATATTTCCTGCCACTCCCTTCTTGCCTGCAAAGTTTCTGTTGAGAAATCAGCTGCCAGTCTTATGGGAGCTTTCTTGTAGGTAACTAACTGCTTTTCCCTTGCTGCTTTTAAGCTTCTCTCTTTGTCTTTAACCTTTGGCATTGTAATTATGATATGTCTTGGTGTTGGCCTCTTTGGGTTCATCTTGTTTGGGACTCTGCGCTTCCTGGGCTTGAATATCCATTTCCTTTGCCAGGTTAGGGTAGTTTTCCATCGTTATTTCTTCAAATAGGTCTTCAATTCCTTGCTCTGTTTTCCTTCTGGTACCCCTGTGTGTGAATGTTGGTGTGCTTGACATTGTCCCTGAGGCCCCTTAAACTGCCCTCATGTTTTGGATTCTTTTTTCTTTTTGCTGTTCTGTTTGGGTGTTTTCTGCTACCTTATCTTCTAAATTGCTAATTGGATTCTCTGCTTCATCTGATCTACTGTTGATTCCCTGTAATGTATTCTTCATTTCAGTTTTATTGCATTCGTTATTTCTGACTGGTTCTTTGTGTTTTCTTTGGTCTGTTCTTTTATTTGGGACATGTTTTTTTTTCTCCCCATTTTGGCTGCCTCTCTGTGTTTGTTTCTATGTATTAGGTAGGGCTGCGATGCCTCCCAGTCTTAGTAGAGTGGCCTTATGTAGTAGGTGTCGTGTGGGGCCCAGTGGAGCAGTCTCCCTGGATACTAAAGCCAGGTGCTCCAGGGGTGTCCCTTGTGTGGGTTGTGTGTGCCCTCCTGTTATAGTTGAGCCTTGATTGCTGTACGCACGTCAATGGGAAGGACTGACCCTTGGGCTTTTTGGTGTGAGGACTGGCTGTGACTACAGTTAAGCTGTTGTGGAGGGGCTGACCTACAGAGCAGGACTCACTGGCGGGGCTCTGATCCCTGCCCAATGTGCCCCTTGGGTGTGTCATCCTTGGAGGTGACTGGGTGATGCTCCAACTCAGTTCGAAGCTGGCACTGGGTGTGCCAGCCCCAGGGCCACCTAGGAGGGGACCTGCTGCAGGCGAAGTTCAGCCACAGTCTGTGCCCTGTCTAGGACCACCTGGCATGAGCATCAAAGCAGTGTGCAGCTAGCCGCCACCCACGCTGTGCTAGAAGGTGCCTTGAGAGGCCAAGCTGCAAACCAAGGCTGACTAGCTAGTGCCAGGCTTAGGGCTGCTCAGCCAGAGGTACGGGACATGCTGAAGTCAGATGCTACTTGTTTGGGTTCTGTGAACCTTTGAGAGACTTTGGGAAAGTCTGCAACATGAGCCAAGGCAGGTGGTTTGTATGAAAAAGCCACTGGAAGCGGCGTGGGTATGTTGCGTGGAGCATGGTCTTAGATTCACCAGGGCGGAGCCAATGGCGTTAGCCATCTTAATTCAGATATAGCGGCTGCCTGCGCCTGCATGCCGAAAGGGGAGGGCTCAACAAAGAAACAATGGCTTCCGTCAGCTCCTCTGATCTGGAGAACGCTGCCCCTCCAGCCCTCGTCCTGAAGTCAGACAACTCAGTTCCTTTCTGTATGTCCTGTTCACTTTTCGAGCTGCTGTCCCAGCTCTGGAGCTCAGAGCAAGTGATTCTGTTGATGAGTAAGTCCATGCACGGGCCCTTCAGAAGGAGCGCCTGGGACTCCAGCTGCCCTCCATCTTGCTCAACTACAGTTTTTTCACAACCAGAAGTTATGGGCACTTCTCTCCCTGGCACTGGAACCCTGGGCTGGTGGGGGAATCTGGTGTGGTGCTGAGACCCCTCGCTTCTCCCTGGGGAACCTCCACAGCTGAGACAGCCCTCCTGATTTTTAATGGTCACACGTGGGTGTGGGACCAGCTGGTTCTGCGTCTCTGCCCCTCCTACCAGTCTTCATGTGGTTTCTTCTTTTACGTCCTTAGTTGTAGGGCTTCGGTTTAGCAAGACTTCTAGTAATTCTCATTGATGGTGGTTCTGTAGTTTAGCTGTAGTTTTGATGTGGTTGTGAGCACAGCGTTTACCTACTGCGCCATCTTGACCGGAATCAGTCGACTGACTTCTAGCCCTAAGTGAGCAAAGGCAAGTAGTGGGCATTTGATGAAGAACGAACTGCTTTTAAAAGGGGGGAGGGTGTTTGCCCCACTTCGTATCTCAAGACTTGAGACCTGACAGTGTTCTCAGGCGGTGAAGATAAAATTCCTGAACAGGTGGAGACACAAGCTGTGGAGTGAGAGGAGCTGGGAGGATGTGGAAGGAGAGGAGGGATCAAGTCAAATCGGTGGCTTCCCCGCAGTCCCCGAGGCCCAGTGGGAATGTTGACACGAGCTGCTGTTGTTTCCCAGGGAATTAATCTGATGGGGAGTGTGAAGAAGGAGTGTCTGTCCCTGAAGTAAGGATGGGATTTCTGGTTCCGAAAGGCTATGCCGGGCTCAGCTTGGTTACAGGCTCTGGCTAATGGTCAGGCCTCATCGACAGACCAGTGCTGCCACCCTGTGGCCGTGCTGAGCATGACCAAGCCTGGGATCCCTTC